AATGCTTTTGAGATGTGGAAGAAACTTGAATCCATGTACGAGAGGAACAATGCTATGGGAAAAGCTTCTTTGATTAGGAAGCTTGTTAAATTGCAATACAAAGATGGTGATAGCATTGTGGTTCACATGAACGAGTTTCAAGGTGTGGTAAACCAACTAGCCGGAATGAAGATGAAATTGGAGGATGAACTTCAAGCTTTGTTGTTGCTTTCCTCATTGCCCGATAGTTGGGATACATTGGTGGTTTCACTTAGCAACTCTGCTCCGGATGGCAAGATGACTATGGAGATGGTCAAGGCTAGTCTTTTGAATGAAGAGGCTAGGAGGAAAGAATCAGGTTACCCTAGCCAATCTGAAGCAAATGTGATTCCAGAATCCAGCAGGGGGAGAAGCAAGAGCAGAAATCCTCATTACAGAGACAAGTCCAGAGGGAGATCCAAATCTAGAAAAAGAGATTTCATTTGCCATTATTGTCAAAAGCCGGGTCATATTGAGAGATTCTGCAGAAAGAAGAAGAGAGATATGTTCAGGGAGAGAAAAGATAAAAATGAGATTTCCGAGCAGAAGCTAGAAGAGAAGAACACTACAGCCTTGGCATCTGGTGATGATGATTTATTTGTTATCGGTGATCATGGACTATTAAATGTAGCCTGTGATGACTGCACCTGGGTGATTGATTCTGGTGCATCTTATCATATTACTTCACACAGGGAGTACTTCTCATCCTACACTAGTGGTGATTTTGGCTATGTGAGGATGGGAAATGATGGTTCGTCCAAGATCATCGGTATGGGTGATGTTTGTTTAGAGACTTCCACTGGTTGCAGGTTGGTGCTCAGGGATGTGAGGCACGTCCCAGATATCAGATTGAGTTTGATTTCAGCTGGTCTGCTTGATGATGAAAGTTATGCCAACAAATTTTGTGATGGAAGATGGAAACTCTCCAGGGGCAGTTTGATTATGGCTCGAGGTAAGAAGCAGAATTCACTTTATGTTATGCAGGCCAGATTATGTAGCGGAGATGCCAATGTAGTAGATGATGCCTCCGGTGATTTGTGGCATAAGAGGCTTGGCCACATGAGTCAAAAGGGCATGCAGATCCTTTCCAGGAAAGATTATCTCCCCGACATTTCAGGTATGCCTTTAAACTCTTGTGTTGATTGTTTGGCTGGAAAACAACATAGAGTTGCATTTCATACTCGTCCCCCACATAGAAGAAAGCATGCTTTAGAT